TCCCCGTGCCCCATCGGCCCCGCTCCCGACCCCCCGCCCTCCCAAAGTGCTCCCCTGGCAGGCAGTCCCCGCCGCGTCCCCTCTGGCAGCCGCCTGCCTCTTCTGCACCCACGAGAGCAGCCCTCATGATGTTTTCCCTTGTACCTCGCTCTTGTTTTGCCGATTTATCAACATCGATTATTATTATTCTCTTTTATTATTTCACTTTGGTGTAACTGCGTTTTCATGCTTTCCTATTAGGCGGCAATCTTGAACCTCCTCCTTGAACAGTATGGTACCCGCTGGTTTGAAAGCTGCAGGGGAGCTACTGCAGATCTCCAAAAGTCCCCAGGACTAGCACTGCTGGCGAAAGGTTTGTATGGTGCGCTTGTGGGACGCTGGTCCTGCCGTGCCTCTGCCCCACTGCAGAGTTTTGAAGCTTGGCCACGGCAGAAGGCCCTGGGGTTTCCCATACTGCTTCAAGTGAGTTCACAGGTTTTTTTGGATGGCTTGGAGGCTTCTAGGTTCCCTGTCTCCTGGAGAAATGTGCTATAGTGAGGTTGGTTTTCTGCATGGAAATACATGCATTCTACGCCATAAGTCCTTCTTCTTTGCTCATTTTATTCACCTCTTCTTTTGCTTTGCAAATCTCAATCTCCACGTTTTCATAGGCAAGCAGAGAGAGAAAATTGAATTCTGAGCTTTGGTTCTAAGGCAAGTCCTTTGCACAAGAAGGATGGAGGTCTTTATTTTCAGTTTTCCTCACAAGCTAGTGTGCAGGAGGATTTGACATAATTTCCTTTAATATACTACTTCTGTTTGTTATCTGAGAACAGAAAGAAATGGCGTTTAGTCAAAATTTTATATTTGTGTCATTTAAAAAATAATTTCTATCGGTAGACACTTACTTGGTCTTCTCTGGGTGCGATGTTGCTTTCTTCTGAGAAATTGTGGCTTCACGTATGACAAGTTTAAGATGCAGTTTTGTGGAGAAATACTTGAGTAGAGACTTGTGCTCTCACAATAGTAACAAGCGTAAACTAGTCTTTTGTAGGACTTAAAGATGTACACGAAAGCTTCTGAAAATGCAAGGTTTCTTCCCAAAAAGTATGTTTTGTAATACTGCCGATACCTTGGATTTATTTTGTCTTGTATTTTAAAACACTGCCGCGTCCAAAGATGTGGATAGGTGTTTCAGAGTGAGAACGGAAAAGTCAAGAGCGATTGGCAAGCTTATTTTTCTCTATATAAAACTTGAGCATTCCAGGTTATGGATGAAATGTCTTCCTTGCGGAAAGATCTGTGTGCCAGAAGTTTTGAGAGCTGAGTGGTGCCTAGCTCTCTCCCAGCTGGCACAAGTTTTCCCACCCAAAGGAAGGGAAAGTTTCAGGTCCAAGCTCTTTGCCAACCGCAGTAATCTGCGATGTTTCAAAGGTCCTTATCAAATGCTGGTGATGCGAAGCGTATGGATAATCTTCTGGGCTTCCGGGGACTTAACGCACAGCTGCCCTACCTTGCTCAGGGATGTGATTGTAAATTACTGCACAGCCCTCTGCGGACATTCATATTTGTGGTTTAATTTAAGAACGAGAACAAGTTTAAGCTAAACCACAGTGAGCCACTCTTAAGCCAAATAAACCTCTGCGGAGAGTTTTGCAGTAGATTAACTAAAGCAACACCTCTGGGGCTTGTCTGTAGGCATGGCTGAACTAAAGCTCAGACACCAGTGTGTCCTCTTGTTCCACGCTGAAGTGATTTCTCCTGGCCTGGGTCTGTAAATTGTTCTCCATACCAGCAGTCTGGCAGGAAGGGTTGCGCTTTGTTTGGTTTTAATGTGACGCTTGACAAACTTTTAAACCCAATTGTAAATAATGAAAGCAGCCTTAAATCAGTAGCCTTTTGGGAAGGTATCAGACAGCTTCTTTCTCTCCCTCTGCCTTGTCCCAGGGTCCTCCTCTGCCTGCACCTGTGCTCCTAGCTCTTCCCCCGTTCTCCTGGGCTCTTGCCACCCTCTCGGTCTCCCTCGCTTACCGCTGGCTTTGGCAGCGCTGATGCAGCCCAAGTCAAGTGAGCGTGGCAGGACTTACCTTGCCTGTGGGTTCTCCTTGCCAAGTAGGAGCTGGTGCTCTTTGGGTTTGTTTTTTTTTCTCCTCCCCTGCATACAGCATACATCAGTTCACATAAACTTGGGGTTTAAATAGAACATGTATTGAAAGAACAGCTTATTAAATATTTGTGAAGTCTATATATTGCACCAACTTGAAAATACTTTGATTAAACAGGGGAAAACCACTATCCCTGACAATAGTGAACGCAAATGTTCAAGTAATTCTGTGCCGTCAGTTTTCATTATGCATCTCATCAGAGCTTGATTATTGCTGTTATAGGTCTCTCTGGTGAGCATCTAGGTCCCCACTTCCCTTCTGGAGGGCTTATAAAGAGAGAGCTGGCTGCAAACATCATGTCTTGTTATGATTTGGATACAATCCTTTATCCTCTCTCTGGGCAGTTTTGCCCTGCATCGTTACTTAATTAAGGATTGCCCCTGTTTTAAATAAACTCTGCTTGGTTTACTATGCCTTGAGCTGCTGTATTGACATATTTACTGAAGACTTCTATTATTTAAATTGCTCTGGGTAGGGAGCCATCTCACTTTTCAGGCCTATTTCTCTTGGGCCACCTGTTTACTCCTGCCTTTTTTCCTTGAAGGAGAACTGAATTATTCAGGTGTGACAATCTGTTGAGAAATGGGCACTGAATGTTGCTTATTAGCTCTAAAAAAAAAACCACAAATGAAAAAGAGACCCTCTACTAATGTACTTCTGAATTTTTTCTGTTGAGACTCATGACAACGGCTGTTTTTGGTGTAGTGATGCATCTGACAGATTGAAAAGATGTCCCCTGCATAAGCTTGGTGTCATTTAAAAGGTCATGTTTGAACTAGCTCTGTTCTTGGGGACTCTGGGGATGCTGTCTCCCACCACGTTGTTTGAAGCACCAGGAGTAGGGCCTGGAGAGGGTGGGTTGTGTTGCAGGCCAGGAGGGAACAGCTCATGTCACTTGTCACCTGCCCCTGCCAGCTCGAGCAGGATGTGACCTGAGCTTTCGCTGATCCTCCAGGCACAGCTAGGGCAGGAGAGGTTCCTTCCTCGCAGTGCCCTGCAAAATGGCACTGTTGTATTGAAAGCTGTGTTGAAAAGGCTGGGCTAATATCTTTGTGTATAGACAGCCAATCCTGGAATAGTTAAAATGGAAGCTGAAGTGTCTGCTGCAGATGTTTCTAGCCTTTGTACCCTGCTGTGTGAGCATTTTGGGCAGTTGTGTTTTTTGTCACATAAGATGTTTATGCAAATGAGACTTAACAAAGTTTGTCCTTGGGGGGAATGTATCTGACAAAATATTTTTTTGCTTTTAATTGTAGCTTTCATCATGGGGGACATGAAAACCCCAGACTTTGATGACCTCTTGGCTGCTTTTGACATCCCCGATCCGACTAGCCTTGATGCCAAGGAGACCATCCCATCAACTGGTGAGGAGAATGAGAATCACCTGAAGTCATCAGGAATCTGCATAGATGAGAACGTGTCCTTATCCCACTCTTTGCCTCCCTCTGATGCTCCTGTTGTGAGTGTGATAGTGAAGAACACGAGTCGCCAGGAGTCCTTTGAAGCAGAAAAGGAGGGGAATCACCTCGGGACTGGTCTGCTACACAATGGGTTTCGTGGGTCTGATCTGCCATCAGAGGCTCACGCTTTAGTGCATAATTATGGCAAGTTTGAGTCAACATTTATTAATGGTGACAGCTCAAGAAGTTACTCTGATAAACTAGATCAGTCCAAGTCGGAGCCTTTGCCAACATTTAGTCAGTTTAGCCCTATTTCCAGCCCTGAACCAGAGGACGCGTTCAAAGAGAACAGTATTGGTGATAAACCCAAACATGCCCAAACTCCATATTTTCCACCGCCTTCTATGTATATACCAACAGGAGCTTCAGTACTAGATCATCTTAGGAAGGTACCAGAGCCTGAATTAAGCATGTTTGATCAATATTGTAAAAAGGAACAAAAGATGGAAATCCACTGCCAGCCAGAGAGTAGGTTGGAAATGAGCAGGAGAGAGCAAGACAAAGCAGCGGAGAGGTTTGTGGAGTCAAGCAAGGACTTGGTAGATACCAGTAGCTTTCTTGGAGAAGGCTTGGTGTTTGGAGACCTCCCTCACAATAATTTAGGAGAAAGTAAGGGGTCTGTGCCCGAGCTGAACATGTCTTCATCGGTACCACCTCGCCAGAGGTTAAAGCCAACTCATTCAAAGTTGTCATCCTGTGTGGCGGCATTAGTAGCTCTTCAGGCCAAAAAGGTTGCATGTATTCCAAAAGGTGATCAGCCAAATCTTACCAAGGAACCTGGTCCTTTTAAAGATGGGACGAAGGGAAGTCCAAAAATGCCCAAGTCGCCAAAGAGTCCCCGAAGCCCTTTAGAGGTGGTAAGGAAGGCCAGCAAGCAGCCTGAGAGTCCTCGAAGCGTGTGCAGCGACAGCAGTGGGAAAGGCTCTCCTTCCATGGCAGCCGGCTCTCCTCCAGCTATTCCCAAAGTTAGAATAAAAACTATCAAGACATCCTCTGGTGAAATTAAAAGAACTGTAACTAGAATTTTGCCAGAAAACGATGAGTTGGGCAAATCTTCAGAAGAGTCGCCTGTGGAAACGTCATCTGCCGAAGAGTTTATCAGATCTTTCCCATCTCCTGACACTAGTGCAGTTATGGAAAGCGAGACTAGCAAGAATTCAACCAAAAACGGGGCTGCTGTGGCTATCCAGCTGTCAAACGTGACGAGTCCTTATGCAGACAGTATGAGAACAGATATTACTGGAAACAGCATGTGTACCGTGTCCTTATCTCCACTGCCAAACTGCGGTGGTGGTGCTGTAAAAGTAGGTGTTAAGAGGCAGCAGCAAGGTATCGTGATGCAGCCGTCCAACGTGACCACCTCTAGCCTTCTTCCTAAAGCCGTGCACTTGGCAAATCTCAACTTGGTCCCGCATAGTGTTGCTGCTTCTGTTACAGCGAAGTCATCCTCACAGAGGCGAAATCAGCCTCCGGTGACACAGATGTCTGTGCCACTGGTGCACCAAGTCAAGAAAGCTGCTCCTGTCATCGTGGAGGCATTTAATAAAGTACTACAGAGTGCCAATCCTGTGCCAATATATACTCCAAACCTTAGCCCTCCGCCTGACACCAGTATTAATTTACCTGCCTCTGGCTATTGTTGCCTGGAATGTGGGGACTCGTTTGCCTTAGAGAAAAGCCTGACTCAACACTATAGTAGACGAAGCGTTCATATTGAAGTCATGTGCACTCAGTGTTCAACTATGCTACTTTTTTTTAATAAGTGTAGCTTGCTTAAACATGCAAGAGATCATAAGAGCAAAGGATTTATCATGCAGTGTTCTCAGCTACTAATGAAACCAATTTCCTTAGACCAAATGTTTTCACCTTCTCCTACAAGTTCTTCAGCCTCTCTGGCTCCTCAGACTTTGCACTCGCCTTCTCCTTCATGTAAGCCCAGTGCTGCTTCAGGAGGTGGGGTAGGAATTTCTGCTAGCACTCAGCCAGCCTTGCCTCTCTATACGGACCCGTTGAGACTAATACGTCATGGACTTAAGTGTTTAGAGTGTAACAAGCAGGCACAGGATTACATTGCTTTAGCAGCTCATTACCAGAGAACCTCAGAAGATAATGAGAGACTGGTAAGTGATCATTTTAATGTTATTAGGTAAATCTCTCTGAGTTTGAAGAGATTGTCCTCTAGGGAAAAAATAGGCGTTGTAGTGGCAAATGGACTGCTTTGCCTAAAAAGTGCTTGTGGGGATGATTTGGGACATGCATGAGCCCAGACGTAAGTGTGTGTGTGTGTGTGTGTGTGAAGAGATGGTTAGTGTTGCTTGCTTGCCCCCTTTTTACCCTTTGCCAGCAAAAAGAGGGTAGCAAGGAGACTATGGAGACCCTTGAGCATCCAAGGAAGGTGTTGGAGATAAAGATCGCTTGGATGAGGTGTGCAAGAGTGCTGTAAGGGAGGACCAGCAGAGTGTTAACTGAAATGGGGTTTTGTGCTCTAGGTGTGTCTAGAGGAGATTTAACACAATTTAATTTTACCTTTCCTAGAACTTGTGCCAAAATCTTCTGTGTAACACTTTGAACATTGGGTGCTGTTTTTACTGTTAGCGTGGTAAAGTGTATATTGGGACAGGACTGGTGAGAGTGCAGTTTGTGTGGTGGAAGGCTATTTTTGCCCTTTGGGTGGGAGAGGGATGAGTCGGTGCCATGTTTCTGTAGGAGGGCTCAAGAGCCTTTCCTGCCTTGCTCCAGTGCTGCCCTGCTTGAGTCTCCACCGCCTTTGTAGACCTCCCTCATAGGTGCAGATGGCAAGGGGGGCGGTCCTGAACCCCCTTTGAAACTCCAGTGAGGGTTTCTACTGATGAAGAGGAGGAAATGCTCTTCATTGTGTACCAAGACCATACACTTTGTTTATGTGCTTTATTTTGGGAGATAAGGTCAATCCTGTTTAAGTATAAACCAACCTGAAGTTGAACAGAAGGAGGAATCCTTTCTCCTTATCTTTTTAGATGAGGTGAAAGCTTTCCACATCAGTCTGGCTGCCAGCAGAGCTGGCAGGCTCCCAGTGCAGTCTCCTCCACAAACAAGAACTCCATGCCAACACAAGACATTCAGGGAGATAACCGCCAGTCTCTGCCATGGCTGTCATAGTACCTGAATGCTCCAAAGCCTCCCTTTGCTTGTTAAATATCTTGCAGGAGTATTGAGGTCGCTGTGATCCTGTTTAGAGGCTTTGTTATCTTTTAAATTCATCAGCAGCAAAAAAAATAGATTATGGCTGAAGAGTTTTTATGTTGTGAAAAATGGTGAGGCCAGAAGGGATCGGTGGTTCCATGTAATCAGGTTTCTTCCACGAGGCAGACCAGTGAGCACTGCGCTCTGTCAACACTAACTCATTTTTCAACTACAGTGCATTTTTAGGAAATGTCAGCAGTCTGGAATTAAAACCTTCAGGTGAAGGGATACAGTGAGTGCTCCAAAGTGAGCTAAAATGTTAATTAGTTACATTAAAAATGTATTTCCTATTCCTGTTGTGGGATTATCAATTCGAGAGCTCCTTAAAGAGAGAAGGAATGTCTAATAGTAAGTATTTTTTTATTCTGTAACTTAACCAAGAAAAGAATTTAAGCTTCTTGCTTCAAGTTAGGTTTGCTAGATGTGAGATTATTTTTGTAGTATTTTTCTGAATAGAAACGTCAAAAAACTGGAAAAAGAAGCAACATTAGAGCTTGTAAAACCATCTCCTCCCTGTTTGGTCTTCCTATGCTTATACTCAATGGGATGCATGTATTGCTCTGGGAGTCCTTTACCGCTGTATCTGCTGTCCTCCAGGCTGCCCGGTGGTGCTCCATGCTGTTCCTGGAACATCTGTTTCAACAAAGCTATTAGATTTCTAGAGGAAATAAGAGTTTGTGCCCATATGCCTGTAATTGCGTGCCTCCAGATTTAGCAGTAGCTGATGGAAACCATCCCTCTAGCAGTAGCAGCACCCAGGGTATTTGATGTCCCTGGGCTGAGAGGTAAAAGGATGGGTGAAATTCGGTGGTCTCATAGAGGTCCCTGCAGTAGATGGGTACCACGCTCAGCTTCTCGTAGCGGTCCAAGGGAGAAGGTGTGGATTGCCTTGGCATCGTGTATCTCACTTGGGTGGCATGCTGCGTAACTCCCACCAGTAATGAGGCATGAGAAGCTGAAGGCTTTGCATATCAGGGGTGTTAATGGACGTAAGCAAGTCTGATGTAAACATGGTGTGAGAAGGATGTAGGTAAGGCTGTTGGAGTATGCATCGTAAGCTGCTGAAATAGGAAAACATGAACCATCCGAACCCATTCTGAGAAGATGCTGTGGATATCCCTGACTCTGTATTAATGAAGCTAATTTCTTGGGTTGCTATTTTTATTTCGGTCAGAAAAAAAGAAGAATGTTGGTAGGAGCTGGAGATGGTAGTGAGTGATTTCACAAACACTTTCTTAGGTGGTAGAAGTGGTGGAAAACTCTGGTTTCTGTCTCCAGAGTTGTGCTAGGTCACTTGTTTTCTGGGGCAGCAGTAGAAATTGCGTTGCTGAAGAAGGCATCGATGTAACAGTTGTATTCAACATAACAAATGTTGCAGTGCCCCCAGTAGTGGATCAAAATCACTACGTCCCCACGGCAGAAGATGTTGACTTGTATACTGGTACTTCTAATTAAAAAAACAAAACAAAACAAAAAACCCCAAAACCAAAAACTCCCAAAAAACCCTACATGACCAGTAGTTGCGTATCGGTGCTTGATCCGGAGTACGCTGCTGTTGCAGGACAATCTGCCAGGATGCAGAGGTGGTGTTAACAGTTGTGGGCAAGCTCAGACGTGAACCACATCCCCAGATCTCAAGAGACTAATTATCTGGTATTTATCATAATTTTGCGCATTTGAGCAAAAAACTGTGTGTATTTCTTCCTCCATAATTGATATTTTTCTCACTGTATTGAAATGCTGGCTTAGAAGCAACTGTACAGGGTATGGGAGAGAGATTGTCATAATTTCTTAAAGCTAACAAAAAATTGCACTCTAGTATTTTGGCAAATTTTTTTATTTTTTAATTTCTTACTCAGTCCCAGGATACAGACACAAACTCTTCACCTTGCCTCCTTGAGGAAAGTATGGAGTATCCTGATATTTTCTATGTAAAGCTATGGCTTGACTTAAGCCTTTTAAAGAGCTTCAAGAAATAGCGGGGCAGGTCCCCACTGTATTATGGCCTAAAGCTTATAATCTGTGACTGTTCGGATGCCTGGTACCAGATCGTCCCAAAAAAGAGGATTTTGTTGG